AAATAGTGTGTGTGTGTGTGTATATATATATATATATATATATTGTAAGTTCTTCCACCAAAATGTGAATCAGCGATTGTGAACCCGACATGTGCTGACAACTACACGGATAGCATTCTTGAAATTATTGCAAATGGTCGGTCGACCTTTCATCTCTCTATTTTGGAAGCCACCATTATTAAAATGCATAAAACTGTCCTTTGCCACCAAAAAGAATTTCTGTACAATCTACACAACCTTCAGTAGGTCTGTGATATTTCCTGATTGGCTTAAGGACATGCCAATCAGTGATTGCCTTACCGGCCTACGTTGATCTGACCCACTTTATAAGCTGTACTATTTCCTATAAATAATTTTCCAGACGGTTCTGCTATGATTAGTGTCTGGCGAAAAGCTTCAGCAGATATTTCTTTTGCAACATCTCAACCAACAATTGGTCCAGTTATTAACGCTATTTTCAAGTTTTGAACAACTAGACTTTCAAGATCTACGTATCTACATGTGCCAATGTTTCCGTTTATCAACGTAATATTTTAAGATCTGTGCAAGAACTCAGCTAACAGATGTTTCTGTATATAAAAAGGCATGTTTGACAAGGAATATTTTAATAAAAAATAATTTAATTCTTGATAGCAGATTTTGTTTTTTCTAACTCCAATCACCCATAATGTATAATGTTTTGTGGTGTGATACAACATTTTTAAGCAGTGTCTTCAACTAACTTCGGCCGTTTGGAGGTGTTACCTGTTTTAACCACTCCCACCACTTTACAGTAGTGTGTTGTCGTCTGTCAGTCAATAGACACTTAAAATAACGTCATATAACGGACGCTTAACGTTGCAATTTGTATTGCCGTGACGTCAGCAAAACGTGCGCATGCCATGAATCACGAGAGGAATTATGCACTCTGTATGTTATAACACAGCATGGCATACGAACTTTAAAAGCAAGAAATAAAAATATTTGTTACCCTTAGTTTTGGTTTTACTTAATCTTGATAGAGAACACTTTCGGGGACCCCGCGGAAGTACATCTAGTTTTGATATTTCATTTTGAGTAGTGTGTATTGTAACTTAGATTTCTCATTGTACTCTTTTAGTTTTTAGAATTGTTTTTGTTAAAATTACAAGTTCACGACTACTGTAAAAATGACATTGAGATGAAAATTAAGTAATTGAACTGTCACGTCTTTAAGAGAAAGGAACCGACATCGTGTACTCATGTCAGTGTCAGCGCTAGGCATAAGCAAATTAAGCTGTCATCTAACGACCCGATCAGGTCAAGGGGGCAACCAATAAACGGAGATGTTTGTTTATCTTTTATCAGAACTTCAACTTTTGCCTATTTTAGTATTGTACTCGTTTAAAAACGAGGTGTTTTCAATGAAATTGATAAAAAACACACCTTTCAGTAACTGATTTATGTTTAAACATTACAGGAGTTAGACACTCGTGCGATTCGCGTGTGTTTTAAGTGCACTACATACACAGTGAACAATACTTCGAGAAAGATGCCGCTGTAGTGTTGTTAGTGTGTGAATAGAAATGACCTTTTTGGCAAGTGTGCTATTGTGTTGTGTCCTGTTTAGGGTCCCCAGTGGGCTAGCATTGCCCCCGTACGCAGTAGTACAACTCACTAAGCTAATCAGTTACTTATTTTTTGGGAAAAGACAAATGATTATAAATTATTATTATTGGTATTGTAATAAAACAACCGCACACTTCGCTGACATGTGTACAAATGAACTGTAACAGTAGCTTGGATGGGTGGATCTTGGACTACAATAACTAAGAATCGAGGGAATTTTACAGGAAGTTATTACAATTAGTCGTTCAATTAGCAGCTGTATCTAAAGTCTTCTACCCCCCCCCCCCCACCACACACACATTTCGTACTCTGAATCCTGTCATCTAAGTACACGTGTTAATATAATTATGTTCGGTAAGGAGAACATTTATTTGAAAAACGTTCAGTCCCGTAATCTTGTATAGTAGAAGCACAGGACATACTGTACTCTAATGGCTGTAAGACTTCCGTTCAGTATATCTATGAAAAAATATGGAAGGTTAAAGGGTCTCTTGCAGTGGTAACCCTTGTCGAGTGTACAAGTCAGCATCGCAAGGTCTACTGACATGTATGTATTTTATAGTATTTTTCTGTCCACGTGATAACAGTTTGTTTTGCAGTCTTTCATAATGTAGAACTATAAGTAGCAACGATCTGGGATTACTGAGTGTATAAAGATTTTCGTTGCATACAATATTTCACACAGGGTCTTAAGCTTTGCTTCAGACTTCTATATATATATAGTTTAATTCCGTTTCATGTTGAAATACTTGTTATGAGTTGTTCATCGATTTCGGACCCGTAGCTTCGAGCAGAACGGATTGTAAACGTAAGACTCAGCACACTACACTATTTTTTCTACTTAGTGTTTAGAGAATTTGAACTGTCAACGTTACTGAAATGTAGGTTATTTGGATCTACAGAAAACTGACTACGTAGTTACTTCAGTAATTACACAAGCCTCCTGGTCGTTAGTTCAATCTACTATAGTTAGTAGTGACTTGTCAATAAATTGCAGTAACTGAAATTGTTTGTTAAATTAATTATCTTGATATCGAGATATATATTTTTTTATTTGTATGTACTTAGCCAATGCAAGAGTACCTCTCATTAGAGCTACATTTTGATGACTCAGTGAATTGTATAATAAGGTTGAACTAATTTTTACTGTACATTTTTGAAGTTGACCTTTAAGGGATGCTATGTGATTTATAAGAAACAAATATAAAGACGTACTGACCAGGTTACATGTGAAATTGTGTCATCCGTCACTGAGCTCTATCAAACGGATCCAGTTGTAACATGGTTAACTAAAGTTTTCCAGTGTGTGGTAAAGATTTTCACTCCACATAAAAGACGAGCTAGACCTGTGCTCTTTGTTAGTGTGTGGAACAAAAAGACCGATATATATATATTACAATAAATGTTTAGAACTGTTTTAGTAATTGTTTCATCACGACTTACTCTACGTCTACGAGCAATATTAAGTCCTGTATTAGTTGGTTTTCTTTGATCTAGAGTTCTCTGGCAATGTTACAAACTTGGACTTTGGTTTCTTTATTATGTTGTTGTAGTGCCTTCACACTTATCATTTTAGATATATTCACACATGTCCAAAACATTTAAAGGGCAATTGAAACTTATACAATCTTAACTGTGACAAGGAACAACTTCAGTACAAAATGCCAGTATGCAAAATGTTAAAAAATGTGTATTAGTGCATGTTTTGTTGATACAGTTTCAATATGTGTTTGTTGATAATTGGTGTCACCTTATAGCACGATAAAACTGATAATTTTAATCACATCGCCAATATTTCAGTTAACATATAATAGTTTACGATGTTTTTAACAGTTAAGCATTTATTATACAAGTTAATGTGCAATACCTGCATATGTATTGTGTAAAATAAAAAGATTGTGACTGATATTTACTTAGTGGTCACAGATAAAATTGTCGTACGATTGTAACTGTGTATAAATGGTTCCCAGTTTGTCCCTGAAGAACAAAGGTCCACCTTTTGAAAGCGCTAGAGTCATAGGGTTTTTATCATTCTGTGTATAAATGAGATTATATATATATATATATATATTGGTTTTACATATATTATCATGTGCGTGTGATTATAATGCCTTGTTGTTGAATTTGATGTAAAGTATAGCACAATGTTGCTTTATATATTCGTGTTAGCTGACAACTGATGCCATCTGGCGTGGATCGTTTTTCTCCAGTTGTTGTTTGGATCAGGTACACACTGGACATCTGCCTCCCTCCTTGGCTGTTGTTTGATTACTTGGTTCTGTTCGATGAAAGCCTGCACATTTCTCCACTATATTAGATAGCTAGGAAAATATATTATTACAACATACAACCTACGATTGTCCATAAGTTGTTACACACGCGAATGGCTCTTTTCATGCCATGTCAATGGATGGGAAACGTTTATTTTTTCTATTTTTACTAGCAAATATTTCGCTTTTGATCGGTTCATTATGAGCACACAGACTTGTTCTCACGAACAGTTCCATAGTTGCCGATAAAATATACAGTACTAATTTTATTTTTACATAAATATCCCTTTAAAACAAAATTAACACTATAGTTACCGGTTTGTCCAGTAGTAGGTTTCCGTAGGTTACATAACGAGTTTACTGGATTTAGTGGGGAGAAGTACTTAGGCCTATGTTCATCATGAATAATAAAGTTTTTCAGTGTGCCCAATGAAGCATTTTTGTTCAGATTTTTCTTGAAATAATTATTTATTTATTAAGTTGTCTGTCTGACAACATAGTGATGTGTGCGTAGTTGAGTAGAAATGTTGTTTGTGGTTCTGGGAAGTCTGTATGCTTTTGTGATTATTAAGTTTTGTATTTTCTGTAGTTTGCTACATGTAACCATGAAGAGCAGACATATTCTGCCACTGGACGTATGTAGGTTTTACATATTTTCAGTTGTGCTTCTGCTGTTGCCAATCTGACATCGTACATAATTAGCTTTTTACCGTATTTGTGATCTGGTCGGTTTTCGGTCGTGTCTTGCGAGATTGGTGATAATCTGTCACTTCTCTTCATTTGATCGTTATACACTTGCAAATATTTCTATTGACAGATTCCCACTTTTTTCACTTGATCACATTATCGAACACGTATTTGACATAAAATACCCTTTTTAAATACAGTTTTCGTAATTTAATGTAAGCTATATTTTCATTGCCTTGTGTAGGTGACTTTTTCTTATAATACATATTGAGTGGTGAGAGATACTTAGGACTGTCATAATTATGTATGATATCACAATCTATGGAGGTTAATAAATCCTTCTTGTATAGATTTTTATCCAAATACATGAACGACCAATCTAGGAGTCTGTCCTGGATTGGTTGTATATTTGCACATTTGTGCATGAATTTAGAATTTGTTGTTCTGGATATTCTATAAGTAGTAGTAATTATTGAATTTTGTATTATTTGTAATTTGTTAATATTGGACTGTGCTACATTACTCCATGCTGGACTGGCGTATTCAATTACTAGGTGTATATACTGTTTATAGAGTTTTATCGTATCTTCTGTTGATGTATCGTTATTTTTACCTGGTAGTCTCCTAGCATAGTTTGCTCCTTGCCATACTTTATTTGTAATATGGCTTCTCCATCTTAATTTCGAATCATATGTTAGTCCAAGACATTTTGTTGATGGGTCGGTATGCAGAAGAGTTCCATGTAAGGATAATTCTGGTTTATGTCTTCGCGTTTTTATCTTTTTCTTTTTTGAGAATAATACCATATTGGTTTTCGGAACGTTCATTTTAATTCTGTGTTTTTGGCAATATTCCACTATTTGATTGAGTACTGTTTGTAAATTGGTGGCACCTATTGACGGAGTCGTGGAACTCTTCCACATCGTCACATCATCTCCGAATTGAGATTTTGATCTTGTGGACATATACAAGTTTACCATTGGAATTACAGCACTTGACTGTTTTGTGGCGTCATCTAGTGGTGTGTTTGTATAAAATTTACGTAATTATTTATAAACACCTTTTGCCTAAAATTTACAGCAGGATAATTTCCAAGGTATTGTGCCGGAACGGAAGTTTTATGTTAAGGTTTAAAAAGTAGACATTCCTATTTAACAAATAGCAGCAATGAGAACCAAATGATAAGGGGAGTAATTGAGACGAAAATTTAAAAATAAGTTTCGAAGTAAAAGTTTCCGAAATTCAGGTTTGGATTATCTAAATCCACTGAACTATTTGGGAAGGATTTAGAGCAAGGCATTTTAATTTGGAATGAGTAGAAATGGTAGGATTGTGTATGTCTATTGCTTAATTTTAAACTACTATTGCAAAATTAGTGACTTACTATTAAGGGAGAGAGAGAGAGAATGCTATAGATAAACCTCTTTCCCCCCCCCCCCCCCCCCACCCCACACACACCATCTTCCGTTGCCTCAGCGGTAAGTCTAAGGATTTATAAAGGTAAAAGTCGAGTTTTGATATTTAACAAAGATAAAAGTTTTGTTAGCATTCTTATTATTTGTGTGTTCATGAGTGCGTGATTTTGTTGGATTGTATCAACGTATATAAATACGTGATATAAGTAGACGATTTAATGTCAGTATAATGAAGAAGTTGGTTAAAGCTGGCTTCCTTTTTTTTTTGAAACAGACTTGACCCCAGAAGAGCGTCAGTTGCTGGTAGATATCCGACTACGGAAAGCAGAATTACAAAGTGAAATAAAGGTGAGTTTTTACTGTTTGTAAACAAGTCAATGTGAGGAGGGGGATTTCCAGTTCTGATGTTAACGTGATGAATGTACTCATAAATAGTTTTTATAATTTTGTAACGGTATCGAAGTTATGTATTCAGCTTTATGTTGATACATGTCTGTATACATCAGCAGATTGGCCAAAATCACCTTTGACTTTAAAACATTTCAAGAGTACAATGTATCACAGTATATTAATATGAACTTTTTCAGACAATATTTTCACTATACTGAAATGGAAAACCTTATAGTTGTTTTACGTATGAATATATTTTGTTTTGTAAAATGTTCACGTTGAAATGAAAACAAACAAGACTGTTCTCGGGGTAAACTTATGCATATGCCTACTGAACAACAAATGATGCTTTTGACTATCATATCCATATCTTGGTTTAAAATATACAAGATCCATTTATATTTTATCTTGTTTTTTAAAACTTATTGTAACTGCAGAAGAATGTAGTAGACTGTTTCAAAGAAAAATATTTTAATAAAAAGCTCAGTTTATGGTCTTTGTTACCTAATATGAACCACAGTGGCGTTACCAGTTCTGATGAAATGTTTTGAACGTACAGTCTGTACAGGTTTTTGGTATCGTTTACTTTGTCATACACAGTCGTAAGGTCCCCACCCAAACAAAAAAGTGCTAGAAGGGGATACTTTGAGGACTACAAATGAAGTCCACTTATTTCATTCACATTTCCCATAAATGACAGTTGATGTAAAGAAGTGTCTGTAAACAAAGCCAATTTTAATATGAGTCAACACTGAGTAGTATTAAGTTGTTTTATTTATGAGTGATTACTTTGTAACTGTATGTGTTTCACCATAAATAGGTAAAAGGAAGAAAAATAGAGACTGATTGATCATTCAAATACTTTCTAGAAACAGCATACAGAAAATCGCTCAAAGGTCTTGGGTTTATATTAACACAGTCTACGAGTCTTTCAGACCGAATTCGGGGGAGTGGGTAGCTTACCGAGGGTGTCACGATTTCCGGTGTTCAAGTTAGAATAAAAGACAAATTACACCGATTAAATGCTCAGTCTGTTACCCCCCCCCCAAAAAAAAACTGCCAAAATAACTCACCTTTCAAGTGTTCGACCACAAAGATAGGGGCTGGTCGGCCTTTGTTCCTTTAGCTCAAAATAGTTTGTGTTCATGTTCGGGCAGCTACCTCACTTAGCCACCCTAAAGGGGAAAGTAAACCTTGTCCATCTTTATCAATAAAACTCGCGAAAAGCACAGAGAAATCGGCTTTATAGAGCTGAGGCACCAGATCTTGTATGTGGGAATTTGGATGTGATGTGTAGGTTTTATACCATCAAAGCTAGTGAGATATTCAGATTTTAGACATTGCAAGGAACGTAAGTCTCCTTTAAAAAAAAAGGAGTACCAGAAAGTTTTATTTGTAAATCAAATCACCGAACATCTCCCTGACTTGCAGACTTAAGTTTTAAAAACAATAAACACTTTGCCCATTTTGTACAGGATGACCTAAAGGTGTAACATTTACTCAAACACAGACGATTTGAAGGTAATGTGTGTGATGCATTAGTAGGAAAGGAAACTATAATGTTCTTAATTATAAGAGTAAGTTTCTATTTAGTTTGGTTTAGGGTTGTAAAAAAAAAGCGAAAAAACTTTTGTTATAGTTATAGACATAACAGTAGTTTAGGGTTGTGTAACAATCAAAAGTTTTAATTGTGGCAATGTGTTATTATGTTATTACTTTTGGTATTACTTGGCCTTTTAGTTAAAATCAAGATCTGCTTAAACCTATCTATTTTGCTCCCCGTGGCACAGTGGTATTTCTGCGGACTTACAACGCTAGAAATCGAGTTTCGATACCCGTGGTGGGCAATTGTGTAGCATTGTTCTTAACTTAAAACAAACTTATTTTGTTACTGTGTTTCAATAGGTAGCTCTTATCTCACCCTTTACTACAAAGTATCGTCCTCACGGGGAAGTTTATAATAAAAATACTAAAATTTTTTCATACAAAATTAAAATAAATTTGTGGCAAGCGCCAACAAAATAATATGTAATCCCTAAAGGAACGTTCATAGTTCAGATAGAGCATATTCATCCGTCCACTATCTGGTACCAGCCGTTGTAATGAACATTAAAAGAAGGTAAATTCGGATAGCCATCGCTATCATTTGTTATCATTATTTGCGGTTTTCTCCTCCAGTACAGCAGATTTCAACCCTGTTTTTTTACTCACGCCCCACCGTAAACATTTTTTTGGTACTTGAGCTACCCCCCTCCAAAAAAAAAAAGAAACGAATTTTCCACTAATTGGTTTTCTACTTTAAAGCGCAGTTGAAAATGATAAGAGTGCTAATTTATAACGTATTGTATTTTTACAAAATGTTTTTATAATTATATCTACGCGGAGAGACATAGTGTTTTATTGTTTCTTCCTTTCTTCCAAACACTTTTCAATCGATTATTTCTCGGCAGATTGACTTGGAGATTGGTATGGTTATACCATGGAACAATACGCCCAGACTTCTTTTTTCATTTTTTTTTTGTGATTTAGGCCATTTTAAGGATTTTATTGGGTCAAAGGGGAAACAACCCAAAAATTTATATTTCGGGCTCCTTTGCGGTCATATTTACAGCAATCAAGATGAAAATTGGCACAAATATGAATTTTCATTTGCCTAACACATTGACTTAAATAAAGCTAAATTTGCCCATTTTGAGTCTTTTTAGGGAGTTGGAGCTCTTAAAACACAATTTTTGGATTTTTGGTCAATCAATCGTCCGTATTTTGACAAATTTATATTTATATGTAGTTTGGTACAAAGATACTTTTTTCACAGGTAACACACATTGAGAAACAAAAATGTTGGACTTGCCCATTTTAAGCAATTATCGGAATGAGGGGATCAAGATGCCACAAAAAGCATAATTTTAAGTTTTTTTTACTATTACTCTGCTGTATTTCGGCCAATTTACATGGAATTTGGTTCAAAGCTACGTTTTTATAGGTCCCATACATATACTTACAAAAATGTGCGATATGTTCATTTTTGGTATTTTTAAGAGGGTGTCAAAAAGTTTAAATAAACCAAACATTTTTGTGTTTGTGTCAATTACTTAGCCATGTTTCGATCCATTTACATGGAATTTAGTACAAAGATACTCTTTTGCAGGCCCCAAACAGAGATATAGACAATTTTGGAATTTTTGTTTTTGCACAATTCAGGGTTTTCATGAACTATTCATGACATACAGTCAACCAACTTACATGGGATTTGGTACAACATACTACATTTTGCAGGTTCCAAGGAGTCATACAGAAAGTTTTAATTTTTTTTGTCTTGTCACGATTTTCTGGTGTCAAAATTGGTCATGTTGGGATTGCGTGGCCGAGATATGTTGCATTCGCCCGCGAATGTGGATTTTCCTTAATTTATTACAGCATCATTCAAACGCTCGCGTCCTCCTTGGAGGTTTGACGCCCCCCTCCCTAGGGGGCGTGCCCTACCGGTTGACAAATGATGCTATAGTACATATGTTTAGTTATTCGTTTTCCAACTGTGATATTGAACTCTAAATGTATGTGAACGAACTGCACATGTTGATGCAATGATATGTCTCTTCAGATTTGAGCTATAACTTTGTTTACCACCTATGATTTGGTTCATGGCAAAGTCCCAATCATTTGACACTGGAGTGCTGTCATTGTTAGGTTTCTATAAATGGGCTAGGTCACAATCTTTTTCGAAAAAATATATTCGTATAGCGAGATTGTTTAAACTATATAGAGAATAAAGCCAAAATTTCGAAGAATGGAGCCACCTGGATTATCTAATTATAGAATTGGAACTGCAACAGGCTCCGGAATAACACCCCAACTTATTCAAAGTGAAGAATATGGTTACAAAAAAACAACAAAAAAAAACATCTGGCTCAAAAAAGTGATTAGGATGACGACTAGTCATATATTCTAGTAACATAAAAAAACAAACAAACAAGGATTTAAAGTTAGCGAAGGTCCCAAATGCTAAAAAGTTCACTAGATGCTAGCCACACCGAAATAAGCGGCAATTTTCATGAAAAAAGATGATTGAAAAAATTGGAACTATAGCAATCCCATTCGACCATATACCTGCCAAGTGTCCTGATGCAACTCCAATGGGATTTTGTGTTTTGCCCCCAGTGGCACAGCGGTATGTCTGCAGACTTACAACGCTAGAAACCAGGTTTCGATACCCGTGGTGGGCAGAGCAGATAGCCCTTTGTGTAGCTTTGTGCTTAACTACAAACAACAACATTTTGTGTTTTGGTTTATTTAAACATTGTCTGGGAAGTTGACATTTACTACAATGGAGGACCCTCGCTGTCCTCGGCAGAAACTTGTTACAAATAGAACTTGCTGTGTAGACATTGTTGAAGAATGGCACGGGACCAGGAACATCATTTTTATACAGTTCGATTAACTGCAGGATTATTCAGATAGTCACAGGAAACTCATCGGATATGCCAGTTGGAAATACATTTTAAATTTGGTGTAAATTTACTCACCAGGTGTTATCTTCATCAAACTACAATATAAGAAGGAATTTCACACATGTAACTGATTAATCTGAACGGTTGTGTTATTCTTCACTGTGACTTAGGAATTTTTGTTTATATGCATTCGTATATCTCCTTGTTGAAATGTTCAACATATTAACTTTTGGGTCACTGCCAAGATGTGCTAGTGTTAACGAACTGTCAAAAAGTATTATAGTTTCTGATTGGCTTAGTGAATGGAATAATTGGGATCAATATATTAAAATATATATTAACCTTCATACGTTTTAGCATTCTTCTGGTCCTAATTCTTGGTGTTGAAACAGACGTTTCATGGTGGCTACACTCCATATTTAAGATTAATTCTCATATTTCTGTTTCTATAGTAAACGTAAATTAAACGTAGTTGAGATGATCACGTTTTGACTATAATGCATTATTGAC